AGCCGCCTCGGCTCCGCCTTCCGCCGGGCCCGGCTGCCGTGAGCCCCCCCGCCAAGCGGGGCCCCGGGCTCCCAGCCGCTGCCGGAAATGGGCGCCAGGGCGTCGGCCACGATACCCGTGGCGCCCGCCTCGGACTGGGCTCCGTACGTTGCAGCCTCCGGCATCGTTGACTGCATCGACGACGAGGCTCGGAGGAACAAAAACAACATATCACCACCCACCAAACCACCCCAACCCAACCCGAAGGCTCAGATTTACCCTCGAAGGAAGAAAAACACATATCACCACCCACCAAACCACCCCAGCCCAACCTGAAGGCTCAGATTTACCCTCGATTTCCAGATGGGGGGGGGGGGTCGGGAAACATCGACAAAAACACATGTGGAACCCTTACCCCCCCCCAACCCGAAATTCGGGTCTTCGGGTTGGGTTGGGGTGGTCTGGTAGGTAGTCAACATAAGCAGTAAGCGATCGTGCTCTTCTTCGGCGTTCTGCCGGTCGCGGCGCGGGCCCCCCCCCCCCTCCAGTGGAGTAGATCTTGGCTGTTTTGGGCGCCTGTTTCAGGCAGGTGGAGCCTCTCCCATGGGACGCACTGCTGCAAACAGAAGAGATCAGCAGAGGTTCGGAGCCGGATCCCTCCCCCCTTCTGCCCGATGTCGAAACGTGGAAGAAGGAAACGTTCGCCAGCTTTCGACGGTCCGCGCGGGTTCTCCTGGGTCTGCGCTGGGCCCCCCTGGCGGCGCCTCCGGCAGCGCTCCTGGCGCCTTCCGCGCGCCAGGGCGAGGGGTCCAGCGCTGATCCGAGAAGTCCGCGCGGACCGTCGATCGCTTGGGTTCGTGCGTGTGTTTCTCGCAGGCCCAGAGGTTGACACCAGCACCAATATCGGCGTTGTGCTTCCACCGAGAGAAGAATTTCCCGATCTCGGTGACGGTGGTGATATTCTGGCTTCCAGGGTGACCGAACTATTACCACCGACACCGGAATCTAGGATCATCTTCCCCCTGTGTGTTGGTGTTGGTGCCCAGTTCCAGGCCTCCAAATTTCTTCCTCTTCAGAGGCGGCTATCCATTTCGTAGCGGACGCTCTCCAGAGCACGCCTCTGCCATCTCCGTGGGTCATTGGCACGGGCGGGCACGGTAAGCGCCAGTTCATCAACGCCGTGACCGGGGAGGCCACGTGGAAGCATCCGCTGGACGCCACCCTGAGGTCGCTGGCCGACCTCTACCACAGGTGCGCCCCGCTGTGCCAGGAGTCCCGCGACGCGATGCTGAGCAGGATCCACCAGAAGTGGGACACCGAGGCAAAGGATGAGTACAGCAGGTGGCGCACCGTGAAGCTGGACGAGGGTGACGAGTACTACTTCAACACGGCGACGCAGGAGGCGATATGGGAGCACCCGGCCGAGGTCTTCCTGCCGGGTCACTACATGCGCGTCAGGGCCATCGAGCGGCTCCGCAGCCAGCGCTACCTGAGCGGGCTCCGCAGCAGGGCGTGCATCGCGTGCTCGAACTGTAGCCTGGAGCGTGAGGCGGACGACGAGTCCGAGCCCTCGGAATGGAGGCTCAACCTCGACCCCCCTGAAGCGTCCTGGGTCAGCTGCGCGTGATGGTGAGCTCGTCGAGCTTTGTGTCTATTTCGGGGGAACGTAAGACTCGAGCAAGCCGGCACTCAGATTTCTCGAAGTTTTTTAACGACCGCGTCCTGGATTCTGACGGTCGGGTTTTCGCGGGATGTTTGCAGCGGGAGCTCGGATTAAATTTCAGGTTGGGTCTCGCCATTTTCATTGATGGCCCCGTCAGGCCAACCCGACTCCGCCGTACCCGAGTCTTACGTCTCCCCGACTATTGCGCTACACACCGCGGACCTAGAGTCCTTCTTCCGGATCTACGCGATTGGCTTTTGGAGTGCAGGAGAGGATCGTATTCGAAGACGCCTCGGGCGAATCACCACCCCCTGCCCTTAATTTTGGGAAAGAGGCCCTAAGGGAGGCCCTATGAGGCGCGATGAAAGACCCGAGTGGCAGAAAGCAGCAACTCTCAGTAGCAAGCAGTTGCAGGCAGCGGAAAGGATCTGCAGGCAGCAGCAAACAGCAGCCAGCAGCAGCCACAGACGACTGCACGCACCAGTTACAGCAGCGAGCGGATGAAGCAGCAGCGTTTATGGTTGTGACTGGAATAGGTTGAAGAGGGCGGGAAGAGGCGGTGACGAATGGGAGAAGGGATATGATGAAGCTCAGGGACGAGGCTCTCAGAAGTCTTTATGTGTGCGCTCTCGCGAGGGATCCAGACTTTTTTGTGCTCCCTTCGAACGAGGCTCTGAACGAAATTTAGAAAGCCAGGACAGAAGGGGAACCTAGAGAGAGCGGGGACCTCACCGGGGACCAGCGGATATGTTCCCGCCACTAACCAGGCTAGCATACATCATTCCTTCAGCTCTCGGGCCGCCTGAGTATGTCAGTCTTCCCTCGGCCATTCGATCGAACGATCAATGGCATTTTTATGAGGCGGAGCAGTACCCTTATCAAGCACCAGCGGGGCCTTCGTGTACAGCACATGCCATAGCGGTGTTTCGATGCACAGCGTTCGTACGCTGGTCTTTTTCATTACTAATGTGGGCGCCTTGAGCGCGACAGGGAGGAAGTCAAGCTGAACATACTTCTGATGGTGCATCAACTCAGGGCTCCCTTGCACCGATAGCAGTATCTCGGACTTACAGTTTGACCTCCCCCTGATCCCTTCGGCCAGCCTGAGTGGAGGGCCTCACATGGCCCGTCGATGTTGCCTCCGCCTGTCTGCGTGAAGGCCAAGACGGCGCCAGCGCTGATGCTGGAGAGCACACCAGAACCACGCACGTCTCCATCCACGCTTGTACCCAACGCTGGTGTGCGTAGTTTGTGCGCATGCCAGTGCCAACCAAGTTTATTCCAGTCCAGGAGGGCAGAGGAGGAGGAGGAGCTGGAGGATGAGGAGGAGGAGGAGGAGGACGAGACAAACCAAGGTACAGCTAAGATAACATGCATGAGCGATGCTGCAAGACACCCTCCCGCCCCAAGCCCCCCCCAGCAACTCCCAGAAGCCTTTCTGACAGTGAGCTTCGAGGAAGCCGCGGTCGAGAACCCTTGTTTGAACAGTCGCAGACCTCCACACGCGCAGCTGTATCGTCTGTTCAAGATTCTGGTCTTCGCATGAAGAAGCGTCTCGAAGGAACTGGAGTCCGTCCTTGAAGCCGCTGCAGATTTTGCAGACGAGTGTGCGCGGCGCGAACGCGAGAGCACGACGTCAAAAGAGAAACGAGAAACCGCCCTCCATCCTTGAAGCTGCTCCCAACGTTTAAGAAGGCGAGCTAAGGCGAGACTCACATGTTGCAAAGGAGTTGCCCGACACTCTTGAGGCTGTTGCAGATTCGTAGGACGGTTGTGCGCCGCGATGGGGCTAGAGCCACATGTCGAAGCAGAACCGCTTTCCGTCTTTCAAGCTGTTGCAACTCTCAAAGTTGAATGTGGGCGGTGCTAAGACGAGATGCCCAATTGTGCCGTTCCAGAACGGGCTTCGCCTTCTAGGGTTGAAGAAGTTGCCATCTCTTTTGCCGCGGAAGGCGGCGGAAGGGCTGCGGAAGGCGGCGGAAGCAAAACGAGGGCGGCTCCGCTGGCGTAAGTTGGCGGAAACCCGGAAGCCAGCGGAAGCAAAGGCGACCTCCTTAGAGATGACAGCCTTCTTGGGTTCAGGGCTTTCAGAATCCGCCATGTTGCTAAACTACCCTATTCGTCCACAGAGCAGTTGGCACACCGTCGGACGGATGTGTTCGGCGTTCGCAGGCGATAGCCCCATGTTGAAAGCTACCTTTGTTCGGCCCCATAGTGTTAAGATAACCACCACCCGTACATCCTTGAAACTGCTGCGGGTCTCTTCGCTCCAAGACCAGAGGATGTTCCAGGTATAACGCCCAGCCCGCCTCATCGTCAGCTCTGTGGACCCGACAGGGAGGATCATCAATCGAGGAGGAGGAGGAAGAGGAGGAGGAGGAGGAGGAGGAGGAGAAACATTGAGGAGGAGGAACAGGGTGAGGAAGAGGAGGAGGAGGAGGAGGAGGAGGAGGAGGACGAGGAGGAGGTTGAGGACGAGGAAGAGGAAGAGGATAAGGGAGGAGGAGGAGGAGGAGGAGGAGGAGGAGGAGGAGGGGAGGAGGAGGAGGAGGAGGAGGAGGAGGAGGAGGAGGAGAGGAGGAGGAGGAGGAGGAGGAGGAGGAGGAGGAGGGGGAGGATGAGGCCCGCAGGTCAGGGACAACCATCCGGCCACATGCCCTCCAGGAGCTCGGGCCAGAGGTCGGCAGCAAGACCTCACGTCCCCGCCCTCCTCCCTCCTCCCCCGCCCTCCTGGCAGGCAGCGACAGCACCCCTCCCTGGGCCGCCCGCACGCTCTGGCGTCTCGTCGGCCGCCCGGGGCCCATCGCCCCAAGCATGCGCTGCCCCCCCCCCGCCGCGCCCACGCGGCCGAGGCCACGCGAAGGCGTTGCCGACCGGCCGCGCCACCGCCCACCGCCCAATGCCCACGCCTTCGGATGCAACTCCTGGGGGGTCAAGTTTTGACTCGAGGAGGAGGAGGAGGAGAAGGAGGAGGAGGAGGAGGAGGAGGAGGAGGAGGAGGAAGACGACCCAATCCGAACTCTGGGCTTCATCCTGTTCAACCCCGCTTCATCCGGCTTCATCCCGCTCAATCCGGCTTGCTCCCGCTCAATCCGTGGCCTCCTGGTCCGGCGTAGTAGCCCCGCAGTGGGGTTTAATGATTGACGTTTCGCGTATCCCCGCCAGCCCATCCAGAAACGATGGCCATGAGAGCTGACGGGGGAGAGAGTAAGAGACACGCATAGTCAAACAGCGAGGGAGGCCGGCCTGGAAGGCGTGTTGGGTCCATCTCTGGGCCCGCGTGGGTGGGTGGGTGGGGGGGGGGGGCGAAGAGGACGAGGAGGAGGAGGAGGAGGAGAAGGAGGAGGAGAAGGAGGAGAGGGAGGAGGAGGAGGACGAGGAGGAGGAGGAGGAGCAGGAGCAGGAGGAGGAGGAGAGGAGGAGGAGGAGCAGGAGAAGGACGAGGAGGAGGACGAAGGATATGGACGAAAACGAAAGGAGGAGGAGGAGGAGGAGGAGGAGGAGGAGGAGGAGGAGGAGGAGGAGGAGGAGGAGGAGGAGGAGGAGGAGGAGGAGGAGAGTGAGGAGTGAGGAGTGAGGAGGAGGAGGAGGAGGAGGAGGAGGAGGAGGAGGAGGAGGAGGAGGAGGAGGAGGAGGAGAAGAAACGGAAGCAAGAGGAGGAGGATGATGATGATGATGAGGAGGAGGAGGATAAGGACGAGGGCGAGGAGGAGGAGGAGGAGGAGGAGGAGGAGGAGGAGGACAGGGGCCAGACGGCGTCTTACGTGCCTCGGATGAACTTCTTGGGCCTTTGGGGGGGCCGCTCAGGGGGCCTGTTGGGTGCCTCTCGGGGTGCCTCTTGGAGGTCTCTTGGGGCTTCTGGGGGCGCTCGTGGGACCCTCTTGGGGGCCTCTTGGGAGCCCTGGAGGGCTTTTTGGTGCCATCTTGGAGGCAGTCGGTCGAAAGAGGGGGGGATCCTCGATGTCTGCCCTTCTTCGGGGGCCACGATCCTCGTGAGGGTTGTCAAACATGGCCCTCCCACTGGCCGAAAAAAGGACCCTCTGACACATCGCCCCCCCCAAAAAAAAACAGGGAGGGGAGGGGGAGGGCTCCCCTCCCCGAAGGGAAGAGGGGTTGTGGGAGAAAAATGAGACCATCCTTAGACCACCTGTCGCCCAACGGGCTGGTGGGATTACTAGCGCTCTCAGAGCGCTCTTGGGGCCGTCTTGGTGCTCTTCCGGGCCTTTCTTGGAGCCCTCTTGGGGCCATCTTGGAGCCATCTTGAGGCCTCGGAAGGCCATCGACAGCAAAAAAAGCGAGAAGGACAATTCATTATTTTTCTAAGTTTTTGAAGGATGTTGGCCTCTTGGCGGCCTCCTGGGGAGGTTCTGTGGCCATCTTGAGCCGTCTTGGAGCGGTCTTGGGGCCTCTTGGGTATCTTGTGACCATCTTGAGCCAGCTTGGACTATCTTGAGCCATCTTGGAGGTTATCTTGGGCTCTCTGAGGCCGCTTGGGGGCCACTCGGGGGCCTCGTGGGGGCCGCTCGGGGGCCTCTTGGAGGTCTCTTGGGGCCTCTTGGGGTGCTCTTGGGACCCTCTTGGGGGCCTCTTGGGAGCCCTGGAGGGCCTCTTGGGGCCGTCTTCGAGGCGGTCGGTCAAAAGAGGGGGGGTCCTCGATGTCTGCCTTCCCCTCGGGGGCCACGATCCTCGTGAGGGGTGTTAGAAATTGGCCCTCCCAATGGCCGAAAAAGTAGCCTCCGTCACCTCGCGAAACCTCCCCAAAAACGTCAGGGAGGGGGAGGGGGAGGGCCCCCCTCCCCGAAGGGCAGAGGGGCTGTGGAAGTGGACGGAGGCCCTCCCTGGGCCACCCGTCGCCCAGAGGGCCGGTGGGATTCTCCTCGACTCTTCCGACGAAGACCTCCCAGCAGTTGCCTCCTGACACGCCCATCGCCCACCCGTGCGCCCCTGACGTCCGCGCACGGCGCCGTGCGCGCCACCCGCCCCCCGGCGGGGCGCCGAAGGCGCCACCGCCGGTCGCCGCCGGGGCGCCCGGCCGCGCGTAAGCTGCCACACCTTTTGTCCGATGTCGGGTGGTGCCTGGCTGGGGGGTCACCACTCAAGGGCTCCTCCTCCTCCTCCTCCGCCGCCTCCTCCTCCACTTCCTCCTGGGAGGATAGGGCAGGAGGGAGCATGGGGATCGAGAAGGTTTTGGACGTTTTTGGGCGTCTTTCCTCTCTCTACTCCTCTTCCCCCTCCTGCCCCTCCGCCTCCTCCTCCTCCTCCTCCTCCTCCTCCTCCTCCTCCTCCACTTCCTCCTGGGAATCGAGGATCGAGCCGGAGGGAGCATGGGGATCGATGAGGGTTTGGTTGTTTTTTGGCGTCTTCGGGAGTCAGGGGGGGATCTGGGGGGTCCAGGGGGATCCAGGGGGCGACCCCCTTGGGGATCCAGGGAGGCCAGCTTCCACGAAGCGCTGGCGAGCCCCTTCGTGGTGACGCCCCTCGGCACTGCCCGTCAATCCACCCCCACTGCCCGTGTCAGGCGATCGCAAACATGGATCAAAGGGGGCGTGGATTGGCGACGGGCCCCGTTTCCATGAAGAATTGCGGATCTCCGCCGGCCGCATTTTGGGGAGGGCACCTCCCCCGATCCATGGATTTGGCGACCGCGCGCCAAATCCATGGATCGCTAATCCATGTTTGCGCGCCCCTGACGGAGCTCCTCTGTGCCGCGGTGTGCTCTCGTTTTTCCAGCCGCTACCCGACGCCAATGTCGCCGGGGATGCGGTCTGTGCCTTCGAGCCCCTTCGTGGGCTTTCAGACTGACGGTCAGCCTGAGCCGCTGTGGCCCCTCTTGCCCCATGAGGCATGTGCAGCCTCCA